AAACACAAACCTCTAGTAAGACTGAACCAAAAGAAAAGGGAGAGAAGACATAAATTACCAATCCCAGGAATGAAACAGGTGAATGAAACAAGTCTGCAGACTTCTGCAGAATCGTGCTAGAAATCTGTCAGTTTTATTGACCAGCTTTTGTTTCACGGATTCTCTCTCTCTGTTTTCCATATTCATTGTTTATTTATTTATTTATTTTTAAAATTTAAATTCAATTAATTAACATACAATGTATTATTGGTTTCAGAGTAGAGGTCAGTGATTCATCAGTCTTATATAACACCCAGTGCTCATTACATCACGTGCCCTCCTTAATGCCCATCACTCAGTTACCCCATCCACCCACCCTATTCCTTGCTTTTTGTTCAGATCTTTTATTTTCTTATTTCTGCCTGTTTGGGATTATTTTGCTCTTCTTTTTCTCATTTCTTGAGGTGAGAGTTGATATTATTGATTTGAAAATGGTCTTCTTTTCTAACAAAAGCGTTAATGGTATACATTTTCCTCTCAACGCTGCTTTCGTGCATCTGCAGATTTTGATGTGCTGTGTTTTCATTTTCATTTGGCTACGTTTCTATTTCCCTGGAGCCTTCCACTTTGAAACATGGATTGTTTGGAAGTGGGCTGTTTTCGTTTCTAAGTGTTTGAGATTTTTCTGTGATATCTCTGCTATTAATTCCTAGTTTGATTCTATGATAGAGAACACATTCTATATGATTTCAATTCTTGTACGTCTGCAGAGGTTTGTTTTATAGCCCCAGAGAGGCTTCATCTTGCTACCTAACCTGGGGCACACAAAAAGCATGTGTATTCTGCTGGTTTGGGGTCGAGTATTCTACAAATGCCAAGTAGATTCTGTTGGTCTTCAGCGCTGCTGCGTTGTCTGCTGATGTTCTGCCTGATTTTTCCATCAGCAACAGAGAGAGGGGTACTGAAGGACCCGGCTAGCACAGTGAATGTGTCTATTTCTCTCCTTAGTTCTATCCGTTTTGCTTCACATCATTTGAATGTTCCTCAGCTGAGGGTGGACAGCCAAGCTCCCTGATGTGGTCTCCACTTGCACTGGCGGGGAGGAAGGTCAGCACCTTGTTAGGATGGAATTCCTAAGTCCTGGCTCTTCACTTGGTCTTCCGTGACACCACCCCCAGGTGGGGGGAGGGGGGGCTGGGGGTGCAGAGGTCCTAGTCAGTCTGCTTTCTTCTCTGTACCTTTCAAGGTCTTCCTGGATGTTTTAGATAATGCCCTGGGTTTTTAGTTGTACTTGGTGGGAAGAATAGAGAAAAGTATATCTACTTCGTCTTTCCAGAAGCAGAAGTCTCAAAGTATCGCACTTTTAAAAAAATCACCCGCTGAGCCAGTTTTGGCCTGCTAGATTTGAGCGGTAACCAGGGCTGGTATGTCCTCAGGGGCAGCAGACAGGAGAGGAAGTGCACAATACCCCAGCGGCTGTGGGATGGTGTGGCGTATCTTGATCGCAGGCTGGACGCTGGGCCCAAAGGTATGAGAAGTGTTAGTGGGATAGGTGGGGGGCAGAGGGGTGGGCCATGTGGGGCATGGGGGTGGGGGCTCAAGATGCTGAAAACCGCTGAATTTCCTGCAGTTCTGGAGCTGGCCCCCCTTGGTGGTGGTTCTGAGACTGGACGGGGCCTGCTGGGTCCTGGGAGTGCCTGGCTTTTGGCGGGAGAGCGGGAGACCCCACATAATGATCATACCAGGTGAAGGACAGTGAAAAATGTCACTCTGCATGTGACGCACAGCCCAGACTGCTCAAAGCAGGAGGAAGCCTCGGGATTGAATGTTCACCGCTGTCTTAACGCTTTCCCCCTTCCAGATGCCATATTAGCATTTTAATAGGGCTTTCCAGTCCCCCACCCCAGGAGTCACTGCTGCGCCCCAGGCTGTGGCTGAGCTCCGAGGAGGAGAGAGGATGGGGAGATGCTGCGGTCAGAGGTTCCCCAGCCGGGCCCAGTCACCTGCGGAGGGCTGATACCGCCTGCGGGGGGGTGGGGGGGGGCTGGGCAGGGAGAGCGGAAGCTGGGAAGGAACTGGAGGTGTGTGGGAGTGGGGGGCTGTCCCCTGGAGTGGGAGGAAAGACAGAATAGGCGGCACAAAGCCAGGAATAGATTAATTTTATTCTTCTCTCATGGATGAATGGCTGTGTCTGCCCAGAAACAGAGCAGGTTCCAGAGTTGTGACTGTGTTAATTGCCATCTGGCAGGGACAGGGAGGAAGGACACAGGGATGGGGAGAGGGGGAGTTTAGAGTGTTTCAAAGCCCTTTTTCCTCTGCGGGAGAAGAGCTCACGGTGGCAGAGGCAGCAGAGGTGACGGGTGGTGGCGGCGGAGGTGGGTATGGCTGTCGTGTACAAGTGGGAAGAGCCAGTGGCGCTGGGCCTGAGAATGGCACTAAGTATCCTTTCATGTCCTTGACTCAGCAACTTCAGGGTCTGTGTGGCTGACTCAGCCAACGCCACGGCCTCCCGTGTCCCCAGACCTGAACTCCAGGCCCCTAACCCCCTCGGCCCCAGGGAGGGGGTGGTCCTTGCACCCCGCCCCGCGCCCCCTCCAGAGCCTAAGCCACTTTCCCAGTTTTCTTACCCACCTCCTCTCCCCAGCCCGTTCACTCCCAGCAGCCCTGCTCCTGCCCTGCATGGGACCGTGGTCCTGGCCACACCGTGTTCTCCTCTTACTTGGCCCCTGCCGCGTTCATGACCATCCCGGCTCCCTCTCAGGGCCTCTCATTTTCAGGGCATCTCTCCATCTTCCTTGAATCTCGTTCTCCCATGTCTTCCCAAAGCACCTGCCCAGAAAAACCCCAAGCCCCAAGAGCAGTCCAGCTGGTCCTCCCTAGGATGGGGAGCAGTGCTGAAGAAAATCGCCCTGGTGTGTGGCTGAGGTTCCAGGCTCCCACCCCAGCTGGACCACACCCCGGTGCCGGGAACCTGCTTCCTCGGTGGCCCCGGGCACCCCCTCTCCCAAGCCCTCTGTCCTCAGCAAAATGCTCAGCTCTCCACCCTCTGGAACTAACTCCTCTTGTGCCCATCTCTGTGCATCACCTTACTTTTCTTCCTCCCTTCCTTTCCAGCAGACTCTAAACCCTCGGATAATATCCCTCCCCCTGCTCAGAACTAGCTAGTCTCTCAACCAGCCTCCCCCTCCCCCTCTTCAGAAACAGAGACATTTGATGGAGAGCCTGGGAGGCTCAGTCAGTTAGGTGACCGACTCTTGGTTTCAGCTCAGGTCATGATCTCAGGGTCATGGGATCGAGCCCCATGTTGGGCTCTGTGCTGAGCATGGAGCTTACTTAAGATTCTCTCTCCCTCTCCCTCTGCCCCTTCCCCTGCTTGTACGCATGCTCTGTCTCTCTCTCTCTAAAAAAAAAAAAAAAGAAAGAAAAAAGAAACAGAGCTATGTCCTGAAAGACAGTTTGCCAAACGCCAATTCTCAGAGTGACCCACTCCCCAAACCAATATGTTAACAATCGATTTGCCAAGTGACCAATTCCACAGATTTCCAAATCCCCCAAAACTTATTTATATTAATTATTTACAAAATGTGTAATAAGATGTGTTGCATTGGAAGTTTTGAAAGCTGTTAATGATATCTCTCAACATTTTGGCCTTTGGTTTTTATTTAGTTCAGAAGTTTTACTTTTGGTTTCTCCACCATTTTATACTGGATTTATGGGTGTGAGATTCACATTTCTCAAGCTGCCTACTTTTCAAAAGTTACTTATAAAGGTTTGGGTAATGCATGAGCCTTTTTTTTTTTTTTTTAATTTTAACCTTTGGTTTGCAAAAAAAGTGGTTTTGTCCTTCAAGTGTAATTTTACACCAATTTGCATTTTCTCAATTTTGTCAAAGTGGCTTGGCAGTCAGCCAGATAAAAGTTTCTTCTGCATGTTAATTTTCACATATCCATGACAACTCCCCCAGTGGCAAAATCCCAAAGCGGGAGTTATAGTTCAATTTAGGCACAAGTCTTTAAAATTAGAGTTGACAGTAAATGCAGTTGAGGGAAAACCCATCCATTGGCACCAAAAAACATACAGTGCACTCAAGGAGTGCCCCACTTCTGAAATATGGAAACCCACAGAAAACTGACATTTGCCAGAGATGGATTGAGAAATCTATAGGAAAACGTCTGGTGAAAATAGACCTGACAACTTGTAAACCAAAAGAAACTGCTAGATGTAAGTGAAATAGAAAAATAAATCTACGGGAAAATCTTCAGTGTTGTGGAAACCAAAGCACACAAATTGCTATACATTTTTAAGTCATTAACCGAAACAACTTTTGGGTGAATTCCAGGGATCACTCAACAGGGAAATTGGTTCTCTAGCAAAATGATTTTCAACAAATTGGTTATTTGGTCAATTGACCCATTTTCTTCCACCTCTCCACCTCTCCTGGTCTCTCCCTCAGTAAGGCAAGCATCAATACCAAGGGCTCTTACACCTGCCAGCCTCCTGCCTGTTACAGTCCATGACATGCGCTGGGCCCTCCTCCCAGTTAGTGGGAAGAGGGGCTGGGCCACCCTGGCACTGACAGGGTCCTCAGGGCAGCACTTTTGACCTGGCACCTTGTAACCTCTTCTGCCCAACCAACAACCCCTCATTCACATCAAATTCTTCTGGCTGTTTTCTTCTCTTCTCCCCACGTGGATCTAAGGCCTCCTGTCCCTAATTGAGACCTCTACTCTCTGACAGTGAATGGGCATGACTGGCTTTTACTGAGATTTGAGGTTACCTGGCTAAGCAGGTAAGTTCAAGTAGAATCCTAGTCAATCCTGTCCTTCCAAGGCCTGGCTTGGCTGTCCCTGGGCCTTTCTCATCCCCCCTTTCTCTCCAGGTGTGCTGTTTGGACGCTCCCCGTCTCAGCACCCCCTCCACGATGCTCATTCTTACCCCCTCTCTCTGGTCCTTCTTCAACCCCGTTGAGTTTTTTGGTAGAACACCCTTCATTCCGTCCTCTCTATTTCCACATACAGATGGGAGAAAACTCACTTTCCAGAGCCAACCAGGCTTCCGAAGCTGTCGTGCCAAGAAAAAGAAACCATGCCACTCCCCTACAAGACAGAAAAGGTGGCTGTGTTTCTATATATTGCAAATTAAAGAAACCCTCCATGCCTCCATGCCTCGACATGGTCTCCCATCTTGACACGACCTCTCTCTTGACCTCACATTCCCCTCTCATCTTGACTTCTTCTCACAGCCAAGCTTCCTGGACCAGCTGCTCGTACTCACTGTTTCTCCTTTGTCCCAATGCAGTAGATACTTCTTGATCTTTCTCTTACTTGCCTTCCTTGCAACATCTGACATGAGTAGACACCTACTCTCAGAAACTCTTCTGTCTAACCGCTCTGACCAGGGCTTCTCAATCTCTTTTGTGCTGTGACCCGGGCTTCAGCCCTAGGACTCACCTCCTCCATAAGCAGGCCCTGAGCAGTCCCACCCACCCAGGTACTTAACCACCTCGTACATGCTGTTATGGGGTCTCGGATCATTGTCCTGGTCTCTGGGCAGCTCAGAACAACACTTGGATATCTCCTTGTTGTCTAGAATTCAACAGATACAAACTGAACTCATCTTCTTTCCCCCAAATATGCGTCCATTGCCTGAACCAGGAAGTTCCCTCTTCTAGCACTACCTAATCTGAGCAGGGCAGATCTCTTCTGTGAAAAGCCACTCCATGTTCCCTCCATGTTCGCCACCACTGCTTCCACTTGGGCATAGGCATTCATCACTTCCTCTTTGGGGTAAGACCATTACCCTTGGCCTTTCTACCTTTTAACCTACACCCAACACAGCTGCCAAAGGGATCTTTCCTAAATGCAAAGTTAGCCATACCTCCCTCCCCTGGCTTGGCCAAAATCGTTTATGAGGCTCAGAGATTTTGACATAACCTTTCAAGCACACAGGGCCTTTTGTAATTTAACATCTGTCTTCTCTCTCTTACTCAAATTCAAACTCAGCCTAGGCTCCATGTCTTCTGGGAAACTTGCCCTCCCTTCAGCCCACATGACTTTGGTCATGGACTTCGTTGTCTGTGAGCTTCTAGAGGGCAGGCCAAGTTTAACTTGGCTTCATCTCCAGAGTCTAGCACACAGTAGGAATTTGATAAAGTTTGATAAAGAGAACAGGAAAATCTCAGACTTCTCGACTCATGATATGCCAGTACAGACTTTGACAATGTGTGGGAGGAAGAAATAGGGAGCCTTACAGGGAATCCCCAAAGTCCAAAGGAGCCACAGTATGGCCGAGCCACTTTCTGAGGGCAAAGGCAATCAAAGGAAGTGCAACCTTTCCTTCTAATTGGGGAAGATGTAATTTCATTATTTTATCTCCTCCATACTCTGCTCAAGGAGGCTGCTACCCTGGCAAGTGAAAGGTGGTTTTGCTGGAAGGGTCTGTCCTGCTGTGAAGGTAGTCAGTGGGTGCTTGGACAGCATAAAGGTGCCACAAACATTTTGTTGGTTGTGCACACACAGTACATTTGACTGCCTCAGGCAGGGGACACATTTTGTATGCCAAGACTTTCCCTTCTGCCCCATCATGCTTGAATTAGAGAGACTCTGGCCCCTTATTGGCTTATGGGGGGGGGGCAAGCATGGTGCTATGGTGGCAGTTGAAAGGGATGAGTGGTTTAGAGTCTTCTTTGGTGAGGCCACCAGCCCTTAAGCAGACTTGCTTCTGGGTCACCCCTTAAGTGCCAGTGACCAAACACAGTCCAGGTGAATCAAAAGTTTTCTCAAGCTAGTGCCCACTGGGCACACCAGGTATAAAGGTCCCAAAAGGGCAACCAAGATGGAGGGAGCACCTGGTGCCCAACTCCAGCCCAACAGGCCAATTCCCAAAGACAAGAGAGATGCGCACCTAATTCACCATGACAGGATAGAACCCTTGCCAGGTCCTCTCTGATAGAGGGGGTAACCATTTCAAAACAAAAATACAGCTGGATCTATACAACATGGCATTTCTGGCACCAGTGGGTAGAAGTGACAAGTCTGCCAAGGCTCTCTGAAGCATGGCAGGCTTGGCATCAATGGCTAGAGGTGATGAGCTTGCAGAAATTTGGCAAAAAATAGTCTTTCAAAGGTATAAAAACCAAAGGGAGAGACAGCAAAGCACTTAACTGGCTTACAGCCACAGTGATTTACTAGTCTAAGGAAAGTATTCAACATTCACATTCGTAATCAAACTGAAATAGCAACAAAGAACCATGTTTTGGCCTCATACATGAACAAAAATTAACATTTTAATGATAATTTGTATGTTGGCAAGGATATGGTAAAACTCCTATCTTCCCACATTGCGCTTGACAGTGTATATTTGTACAGTCTCCCATGGAGGGCAATTCATCATTATGTGTCAAGAATTGCAAGAGTTCATGACCCTCTCTCCAAGAAAATAACCCAAGATATGGAGGAAAGCTTCATCAGAGTGTTAATTGTCATTTTGATAGACATATCAAGTGCTCAAGTTATAGTTCATGACAAATGTTTTAATTCTGTGTTGTGTATTCAAAGGAAGGACTGTGAGAACAACGCAGGAGGAGTGGCCATGGCCACAAGAAGACATGACACCATGTGCAGACAAGGACAACAAGTGAGTGAAACAGTCTTCACAGAAAAGGGGAACCCAAGTAAATCCCCCAGAATGATAACTGGGGTTGTGTCTGGGTGTGAAGGGGTGGAGGATTATTTTTTCTTTTTCAAATGTAGTATGTGATATTATAATCAAACCTTATGTTAGGGGGCGCCTGGGTGGCTCAGTTGGTTAAGCGACTGCCTTCGGCTCAGGTCATGATCCTGGAGTCCCAGGATCGAGGCCCGCATCGGGCTCCCTGCTCAGCGGGGAGTCTGCTTCTCCCTCTGACCCTCCCCCCTCTCATGCTCTCTCTCTCAAATAAATAAATAAAATCTTAAACAAAACAAAACAAAACAAAACAAAAAAAAACCTTATGTTAGGGACTTGAGGCAAGATAAAAAGGGCACCTGAGAACCCTCCCCAGGAAAGGCAGGAAGGAGCCTTTCAGGAAGGACAGGGTGGCCTGACCTTTGAGGGACTAGATTTTGCTTTGGTGTGGACTGGGCAGGGTGCAGGCTGGGTGCAAAAGCAAGGACAAGGTCTTTGCTGCCCAGCATTTTCTTGGGATCCTAAGAAATCTGGAGAAGGGACAAGCTGACCTTAATTGGGGAAATGTTGGAGAACTCACATCAGGCCTCTTTGGGAAGGCTTCTGGCTCTAAAATGAGCGGTCTTTGAACACATTTGGTGTAGGCCTGTGAGTACCCCGGGGGAAACTGAGGATGTTACGTCAACTCTGAAGAGGCTCCAAGGAACTGGTGGGGAAGAAGGCCAAGGAGAAGGAAGGGGTGGTGGGCTTGGAGGCTCTCTCGTGGGCAGTGACAGTCACAGTGCCTGGGGCTGGGTTTGCTGAAGAAGGCAGCCGACTCCTCCAGTGGAAGGGAAATGGAGTGTGGCTCTGAGAAGTGTTCGTGATTGTGTCTTCAGAACAGGCTGAAACCGAGGGAGTCACTGGGCCGGGTGTATAAGACATACATGTAGCCCAGAGCCTGGTATCCGAACTTCACATAGAGCCTGCGTTGGTGGTATAGTGGTGAGCATAGCTGCCTTCCGAACTTCACATAGTAAGAGTTAGCTGAGTCTATGGAAGGATAAATAAGTGAATGCACAAGGCTCTATGCACCGCCCTGGGGTGTAATCACATGGTCTCAATTTTATCTGCAGTTGTCTCATCAGAACCCACCTGTGTCACTCCCATGTGTCACTGCAACTAGCTCTTAGAAACATCAAATCATTTTGTTAAATACAGATCTTCCTCAACTTCATATCGGGTTACGTTCCGATAAACCCATTAGTTTTCGTTTTTTGTTTTTCTTTTATTTGACAGAGAGCACACAGCAGGGGGAGCAGGAGGGGGAGAAGCAGGCTCCCCGCTGAGCAGGGAGCCCAACTGGGGGCTCAATCCCAGGACCCTGGGATCATGACCTGAGCCGAAGGCAGATGCTTAACCGACTGAGCCACCCAGGCACCCGTGATAAACCCATTGTAAGCTGAAAATATCATAAGTCAAAAACACATTTAATACACTGAACCTACCGAACGTCACAGCTCAGAACGTGCTCAGAAGACTCACATTAGCTGACAGTCGGGCAAAATCATCTCACACAAGGCCTATTTTATAATCAAGTGTTGATTATTTCATGTCATTTATTGAATACTGTACTGAAAGTGAAAAACAGAATGATCGTGTTTCCATTGGTTACCTCGATGATGCCAGGAGCTAGGAACCACAGCTCCCTGATGCTGCTGTGCATCATGGGAGAGTATATTATATACCGCGTATCGCTAGCCCAGGAAAAGATCAAAATTCCAAGTTCCAAGTGTGGTTTCTACTGAATGCTTATCGCTTTTGTGGCCATCCTGAAGTTGAAAAGTCATAAATCAAGCCATCTAAATTGGGAACTGTCTGTAATCCCTGCTGAGAAAATTTACCAGTCACCCAGAAATAATGAATTGGAGATACCGTGAGCTCCTTAGAGTTAAACTTTGTACAATACGAAAGAAGCCCAACCCAGACTTCTGTCATCCCAGGAAGGCCCCATCCACTCCCTATCCCTCTACACAGGTGCTTATTCTTGGTTCTAGTCTGATGTTCTATTGGGGCTAACGTTACAAAATCAGGGCATCGGAGTTGAAATGGCTACAATACATAATTGTGGGGCGACAGAGAAAGGATCATCCATAAAGTGAGAAACAAACCTGAATGTAAGTGCAGACAAGAAAATATGCAAAATGAAGGGAAAACCACTTCATCTTCATGATGTGTGTTCTATGCTCCCCTTTGCACTGGGAGTGACTTTAACTCACCAGTTTATTTGCATATGGACAAAAGGGAACCTAAAACACTTTCATTATCTTAAAAGAGAAATTAGCCAAAAAGAATGTTCCTCCTGACAGCAATTAGTCTTGGCCAGCCTCCTCAATGCTCCCCAGGCCATTGCTTTGCTGAGTCATCCTCCTAACCGGGGGCCCCTCAGACCCAGAGCCCAACAGCCATCTGCTCACCAGAGGGGCGGAGGGCCGGCTGTCAGCAACCACCGAGCTTTAGAATCTTGCGATTGGGGTTGGTCTCCCTGCTGTCAGGGGTTTTGTTGTCGGTGTTTACCTTAGAGAAGAGGCATCTTATTTATGTAGAATTACATATTTAGGTAAAAATCCATATTTAAGATCATGTCAGATCTTACTTAGACTATGGATAAAATTGGCACAATCTTGGAATCCAAAGAACCTTCTGTTTCATCTGGTTTTACCTTCTGCTTCTAAACAGCTGTTTGTTCTGTTTGATAAAGATTTCAAAGTAGACTGCTTGAGTGAAAAAGAGGAAGCAGCAGAATAATAAGTGTATTATAATGCCTGTCTGTCAACATACAAACACACACACACACACACACACACACACCCCACACACGCGCGCGCGCATGCACACACACACATATACGTAAAATTCTGAATGGCTTATAGAAGACAGTCATTTTCTAAATCTTGCTTTCCTCTAATGTGTGATTATTTTACATTGAGTTTATATTACTTTTACAATTAAAACTAATAAAGATCACATGTTAAAGACGATCAGACACTAAGATACTCTTTGCAGGGGAGGTTTTCCTAGTAATGAAATATTTTCCTAGTTAAGCTACATACACTCTCTCATCACAATTTATTCTCATTTCCTTTGGTTTTTGTTTTTCCTGGAAATGGAGTGGACATCGTCTTCTCTAGATCAGCGGGACTATGCATTTGTTTTTACTTTTTGTTGTGAAAATCTCAAACAAAGGAAGCAAAAGGGTCTACTCAAGCCCCATGTCCCTATCATCAGTTTCCATAATTATTCACTTTCCACCGTTCTGATTTTCTCTTTACCTTCTTTATCTATCTTCTACTGACACCTCAACCAAACTAATCTATATATAGTTCTTTTTGGTTTTGAGGTACATTTTATATACCGTAAAATGTATAAATCTTAACATTAAAATTTTGAAAAATAGATAGGACTGTGCAACCCATGCCCTTATGAATATACACAACATTCCAATCAGCTGAAACAGTGCCTGCATCCCCCTTCACGGTCAGTCTCCACCTTATTTGAATATTTTTACAGAGAGGTTTAATGGATGGCACAACATGCTCAGCATCATCAGCTTTTAGGGAAATGCAAATTTAAATCACACTGTGATAACATTACACATATTTTAGGACGGCTAAAATGAAGAAGACTGACCATACCGAGTGTTGGCAAGGATACGGAGGAAGAGAATCCGCACGCACTGCTGGTGAGAACAGAAAATGATACAACCACTTTGGAAAAACAGTTCAACATGCCCCCACCACGTGTCCCAGACATTTAATTCCGAGAGAAAAGGAAGTGCAATGTCCATACAAAGACTTGAACACAAATGTTCATAGCACCTTTACTTGTAAGAGCCTCAAACTGGACACAACCCAAATGTCCACCCACAGAGGAATGAGGGAAAAAATGTGGCACATCACTACAATGGACTACTACTCGGAAAAAAAAAAAAAAGAAAAAGAAAAAAATGATTTATTGATAAACACAATATGGATAAATCTCAAAAACAGGGGTGCCTGGGTGGCTCATTGGTTAAGCGCCCGACTCTTGATTTCTGCTCAGGTCATGATCTCAGGTCCTGGGATGGAGCCCTGCATTGGGCTCTGTGCTCAGCAGGGAGTCCGCCTGAGGATTCTCCCTCTCCCTCTGCCACCCCCCCCAGCTGCTCGTGATTTCTCTCTCTCTCCCTCTCAAATAAATATAAATAAATAAATAAATCTTTTAAAAAAAATCTCAAAAACAATTATGTTGAGTGAAAGAGACCAGACGAACAAAAAGGCTACAGACTGTATATTCCATTTATGTAAAACTGTAGAAAGTGAAAATCTATAGTGAAATGAAACAAAGAAGTAGGGATGGAGGGGGAAGGGAAGGGAGGCCTGGGAGAGATATACAAAGGTGCATGAGGAAACTGCTGGGGTGATGGCGATGTTCACTGTATTGACGGTCGGGATGGTTTTGTGGATAAACACATACGTGAAAATTTAAACAGTACGCTTTAAGGATGTGCAGTATTTCGTATGTCAGTTACACTGCAATAAAGCTGCTTCAAGAAAATAAGGCAATGGAGAGTATCATGACTTTGTTCTCATATGATTGTTCTCTCTCTGGCCTGCAAACAGGTGCACACAAAATCTACACATTGACCTGGAGCCTGCTTGACAACACCTCTGCAGCATTATGCAAATCACTGAGAGAGAGAGACAATAGTTATGTTAGAAACCACCAGAATATGGTTGTTTCCACACACCTTTTTTTTTTTCGTTTTCAGATCTGGGTTGTCTGTAGCACGTGGCTGCCAGTTAACCCAACGTGGGGCTTTTCTCTTTGGTTTAGAGAATCTGAAATCGAGCTCTGCTGGAGTTAAATCCCTGTGGTGGTTCGTGGGTGTGGAAAGTACCTATGGCTGACCACAAGCTAGTTCCCTAAGACTCTATCAGTGTCAAAATAACTGCTGCATCCTAGGTTGTTTGCTTAAAAAAGAAAAAAAAAATCCCATGATCTTCACTTCAACCACTTCTAAATAATCTATAGGACATACTTCTTTTCTGTTCTCATAATTTCCTAACTTTTAAGATTTTGCTTTTTTCACTCTGCGGGAGATCTTGTCTCACTAGAGAATGGTTCCAACATTATGCTCAGTCTCGCCTTCCCTCTTCTGCTTCCCTGAGCAAACCTCCCAACCCAACTGTTGTGAAGGGGCCCACCCTGAAGGGCTGTTCTTGGCACCCCAAATGTACCAGGTCTTGTCACTAAGGTGGCCCCGTCTGGCCATAACCATTTGAAGCAGCAGTCTACTTCTTACTGGAAAATCTGGTGCCTTTGCAAGAGCTTTCCTAGAATTAACCACACCAAGGGGAGGTGGGGCGGTGAGGCAGAGAACCAGGGGCCTGGGTGTACAGAACCCCTCATCAGCGTCGCACCTCATCTCTGCTATAACATCCTGAGGGAACCACTGGACTTTGTATCTGCAGGAGAAGGGGAAGAGAACAGTGACGGCATTTCCTGTCCCTTTCCGGAAAAAGATGCCATGCCAGAGCAACATTCCAGCAGACTTCTAAGGTCAGTATCACCCCATGTTACAGATGAAGCTCGGAGAGCCTCAGCAGCTCATGCGCCCCAAGTCTCAGAGAGATGGAGCAGAGCAAGGATTGAAACCCAAGCCAGTCTGGCCAGAGGACCCACATGCTTTCTTCAACTCAGCATGCCACCTCGCCATGACTGCTGGGTCACCACCGATCATCACGACCACTGTGTTTCCACCACTTACCCGCACTGCCGGGTCACCACCACTCACCATGTCAGCCGGTCATCACTCCCCACTACTGCCTACCGGTCACTACTGCTTTATAATCACGTTGACAGCCGCTGGTAGATTTCGGTCATCAGTATTTTCTAGGTAATTGATACATTAGGTGTTCAGTTGCAAGACATATGCAATTTCCACTGGATATTTTCTGGAGGATCTGACAGATCTAGACTCAACTCTAGAACCTTCCAAGACATGACATAACCACATAGAAGGCTGAGCCTCCTGGATGTTGGGAATGCTGTGTCCTTATCCTCCAGGTTTCCCTACAGATAAATCCATTTGTCTACAAAGTCGAGGAGGCAGGCAGGGGACCTTCACACAGAACCTTTCAGGCTGGGGTAAGGAGCCTGGACGTCAGTCTAAGACAGATTTTGCACAGGAGGGGTGATATGATCCGGACTTCCAAGAAAGGAAGCTTAGCGACAGCAGCCCAGAGTCCACCGCAGTGGCTCTGGCAAGAGAGCGTGGGCGCCTTGGACTTGGGTGGTGCTGGTAAGAAGGAAAGAAACGGATACACTCGGAAATCATTTCAGAGGCACAGGCAAACTAGACTTAATGAGGAGCTGGATGTGAGGCGTGAGGGTGAAGAGAAGAACCAAAGCCGACTCACAGGATTTTGTCTGGAAAAACTTGAAAAGCCAAGACAAGACAGGAAAGAGTGAGATAAAATCAGATTTGGGGAAATCTTGTGCTTTGCTTGAGATAAATCTGAATTAGAGATGCCTGTTAAAATCAAAGTAGAGAAGGCCATGCATGTATGTGTGTACGGGCTCTGAACGGATACGGAAATTCAGGAGTCAGGAGCCCAGAGATAGCACTTCAAATAGCGCGAGTGGATGAGATCACCAAAGAGGCAGCGCGCAGAGAGAAGAAAAGTGAGGTGGGAAATGAACTCTGGACGCCACGGGACTTAGAGAGGAGGCAACAGCTGTGGCCATGAAGGCTGAGAAGGAGCAGGAGGAAAGCAAAGAGTGTGTGGTGTTCTGGAAGCAGAGAGAAAAAAGGGCATCCGGAAGGAGGGCTGTCAGTTGTGTCAAATAAGATGAAGGCAGACCTGCCACTGAATTTGGTAGCAATAAACCACAGCACATCGCCATGTAAATGGTTACATCTAAGCTACCGAACAGAGTATGATTTATTCTCCATATATGTAATAAGTACCTACTATGTGCCAGATAGTCTTTCAGGGCAGTGGGGTATAGAGATTCATAAGACCTGCTCTCTGCTCTCAAGGAGTTAACAGTAATGAGGAAGAAAGAGGCAATAACCAGTATTTTCATTGCTTTGTTATCCCAGTGATCTCGCAACAGTCTGGTACATCGGTTTGTGCCATTGTGCCATTTTACCAATAAGGAAAGCGAAGCAGAGGGAGGTCAAGATATGCCTCAGAGGGCGCCTGGGTGGCTCAGTTGGTTAAGCGACTGCCTTCGGCTCAGGTCATGATCCTGGAGTCCCGGGATCGAGTCCCGCATCGGGCTCCCTGCTCAGCGGGGAGTCTGCTTCTCCCTCTGACCCTCTTCCCTTTCATGCTCTCTATCTCTCATTCTCTCTCTCTCAAGTAAATAAATAAAATCTTTAAAAAAAAAAAAAGATATGCCTCAGATATTCGATGACAAAGCCAAGGCTTGACTCTAACATCAGACCTCCAAACGGGAATTCCCAAACATGATTGGGAAATGGCCAAGGACCAGGCATCTCAGCACTAGGAGGACCACTCATCTGAAATACAGATGCACTTAGGGTAAGCCTGATGCTTTCTTGTCCAGGTAGCGCAGACTCAGATCAAGTGCCCACAGCCACCCACCCAAGACTCTCAGATAAAAAGGTCTATACCTACATGATAAAAGTACCAAAATAATTCAGTGGGGGACAGAAAGTTCTTTTCTTTTTTTTTTTTCTTTTCAATAAATATTTCTGTGGCGCCTCGGTGGCTCAGTTGGTTAAGTGTCTGCTCAGGTCATGATCCCCAGGGTCCTGGGATGGAGCACAGTCAGCTTCCTGCTCAGTGGGGAGTCTGTGTCTCCCTCTCCCTCTCCCTCTGCCCCTCCCCCCCCTCATGCTCTCTCTCTCTCTCTCTCTCTCTCTCTCTCTCTCTCTTTCTCTCTGTCACTTGCACTCTCTCTCAAGTAAATAAGTAAAATCTTTTAAAAAATGTTTCTGAAGCAAGTAGATATTATATGGGAAAAAAATTCCTGACGACTACCTCACACCACACACTAAAATTAATTCAAGTTGGATCATAAACCTAAGTGTAAAAACTAAAACTTTATAGTTCAGTTTCTAGAAGAAAACGTGAGAATGTCTTTGTGATGTTGGGGGTGGGCAAAGAATTCTCAGGTCACAAAAAAGGCAGAGTAACCATGAAATTTAAAAAGAGGTAAATGTGAGGGGGCACCTGGCTGGCTCAGTCGGTACAGCATATGACACTTGATCTCAGGGTCTTGAGTTCAAGCCCCACAATTGGGTATAGAGATTACTTATAAAAAATATTTTAAAACCAAGAAAATACACAAAATATTTTGGGGCGCCTGGGTGGCTAAGTTGGTTAGGCATCTGCCTTCAGCTCAGGTCATAGTCCCAGTGTCCTGGGACCCCTGGGCACTGGGCTCCCTGTTCGGCGGGGAGTCTGCTTCTCCCTCTCCAGATCCCTGTGCTTGTTTCCCTCTCTCTCTGTCAGATAAATAAAATCTTAAAAAAATAAATAAAAAAGAGGTAAATGCGACTTCTGTTTATTAAAAGGCATCATTACAGAAGAGCAAAGGCCAATTAAAAACTGGGAGAACCTCTTCACTATACATTTAGCTGACTGACAACTCAAATCCAGAATGTATAAATTTCCTCACTTAACCACCAGTTGTCTTGATTGTATGCCCCTATATCACGCTCTTCCAGCTTTGGGAAAGGCCCTTCTGCTTGAAGAGGGTGCCCCTGACTGGTGGAGAGATGATGTTCCCTCAGCCATGTTGATCCCAAGAAGATGAGGACTTTGGGAACAAAGATTTTTGAAAAATTCAAGCCAGTTCATAGGTTCGCTTTTCTTTGCAAGTGGCAGCCAGGAGAAGGACCAGAGTTTCTGTGGTTCAGGACTCCAGACTTGCCCTGACATTTTTTTGCCAGGATT